AGGCGTCAGACACGTTTGCCGCGACCGAGAATGACGATGGCTTTCCTGAGGAGCCACGCTACAGCTCTGAGGAGATTGAGGCTGCCGAGCAGGCGTTCGCAGCCCAGCAGCGCAGGTTCGACTGGGCTCGAGAACTATTCGCAGAGTGAAGACAGCCGGAAAGTTTTCTCATATGGATGAGGGCAAGGAGGCAGGACGCCACGACATGGGCCAACGAGGATGACATCCCAAGGCGAAGAGCACAAGGGCCATTAGTCGATCCTCTGACAAGGGCCGTGTACGAATTGGTGGTGCAACCGAGATCAAGTCGCAGGGGCTCATGCCTCAAGTGTGGCGGCAATCGCGAGACTCTCGACCAGAGATCACGCGCCAAGGGCATCGTCTGCCGACCGAGATCGGATGCCCAGGAAGGGCTGCTCATCCTCATCGTCCAGGAAGTCTCTCGCCGAGCTGCCGCAGACCCTCGAGGACTGGAATATCGATGTCAAGCAGCCTCGGCACGAGAAGTTCCCCGTCTTGGCGGTCTGGGAGGGCGCGGGCGACTGGATGCTGATGAGTGTAATGCAGAGCTTCTCCAAGGGTTTCGGCATCTCCGACGTCGGCGCGACGTCCCATCGCGGGCGTCGCGGCGGCCGAGACGCCGCGCGATCTTGTCCACTGCGCGCCGGGCAGGAATCTCAATATGGACGTCTCGCGCAAGAGCACCTATATCTTCGGCGGTGGCAACTCCAGAGCCTGCGCCTGAAAGGGCGCACCCCCCGTGAAGATCGTCGGCGTGGAGGGCGATCAGATCAACATCTTGGATGCCCGCCCCGCCCCGCCCTCTCCTCCTCATCGGAGTGGATGCGCTGCGCTGGCTTGGCGCCGTCGCCGATTGCGAGGCCCGCGCAGTCCACTTCAAGCGGCTCGGGCGCCGGGCGCAGCTGCTCGCCCTCCCGAGCACTTCGCACTGCCCTCTGTTGAGGAGGCCGATGTCGCGGCCGCCCCGGAGTCGGCGCGCGCGCCCTCGACGGGCGCCGGAGAACGTCGCGGCGCCGGGGGGGCAGAAAAAGATGCCGCGACAGCCTTCAGGCGCCGCGCCAGACCACGCCGGCGAGCTCCCCGAGGCCCCGCGCGAGATCCGGGCCCCATGCACGACTTCCCCGTCCACGATTCCGGGTGTCTCCACGAGGTCATTATCACTTACGACACCGGAAATTTCGCGCAGGGAATTGCCCAGAACCTCAATTGCGGCATCACCGAAGTTATCGACGACGCGAATTCCTGGGACGTTCCCAGGAGAGCCCCCTGGGGGAATTCCTGAGATCCGAAGGCCCCCCTCGACCGCCCCAACGCTGTTCTCACCTTCGGCGGCCATTTCGGCAGCGGACGATGCTGACGCGATTTCTCAGCGCAGCTCTCCTCATTTCTAGCCCACATCAGCACGGGTCTCAGCCGCGAGACGAAGCCGCAAATCCGAGGTGCAGGAGGCCCCGGCGAAGGGCTTGGGCGCGGGCGACTGGGGGCGGCCATCGATGGCCCCTCGAGTATTCTGGTGGATTCGGGATCACACCGAGGTCGAAGCAGTTTCTGGGAAGGCCCTGTCGTCGCCGCGACGTGGAGGGCAAGTGTTGCTGCGCGGTCGAGGACAGCACGCTCGCCGCGAAGGCCTTCAGTGGGCGCGGCGATCATCCCAGACGAGCGCCTTCCTCTCGGGGAGACGTTGACCTGCAAGCTTCACCCGGCCTGGACCCGCACCCGCCGTTGGTCGCGAGCGCTGCTGGACGCGCTTCTCAAGAGCATCGAGAAGAGAAGCTGGAAGCTGGACTGCCGCGGTGTCCCAGTGCCGCTGCCGACAATGCCGCCGACCTGGCAGGCGGATGCGAAGCGCGCGACGAAGCTCGAAAATATCCCAGAGGGGAGGTCACATCCATCAGCAACAGCGACGGCCTCATCTCAGAACGGAGAGCTACGCGACGCCGCGGGGACCGCAAAGTCCGATTCTTGGGCTTGTGCCGCGCCGCTGACCCAATGGGAAACTCGCGATTGTCGTGCGTTGTTCCCTGCGCGCCTATCGGGGGTTTCTTGGAGTTTTCGCGGGGCTTTGCACGGGCCTCTTGGGGGCGTGTTCGGGGCCTTTTGGGTTGGCGTTCCCGGCGTTCGCCGCGCGCGCGGGGAAACGGGCGAGCCCGCGCGTGCAGACGGTGGGCATATGCCAAAACACCTGAACTTCGGCACATCCCGCCACCGTGCCTGGGTTGCGGCTCCGAGGCCGCTCGGAGGGCTGATGTGGTCTCGTGGGAGGCGTCTCGGGCGTTTGGCGGCAGTTTTTGGACCTCTTGGGGTGCCCCCTGGGGACCTATTGAGGGCTTCTTGTTACCATTTTGGGACCACCTTGGAGCCTGTCTGGGGGCTTTTTGGGGCAACCTGGAGGCGTCTTGGGGTGGGGGATTCGAAATGTCCGTTCGGGCTCCCCCTCTGGGCCCCCTCTTGGGGCTGTCCCAGGGCCGTTGTGGGCCGTGTCGGGGGTTTTTCTGGCCGCATTGGGGCCCTTCCTGGGTCGTCGTGGAGCCCTCTCGGTGGCCTCCGTGCCTACCTTTGGGCGATATTGACGGCCACTTGGGCCGTTTGGGACGTTGTGGACTTTCTAGAGGCGAACGTGTTTAAAATGAATGTTTTTGTTGGGGGGGTAGTTTTTCTTTGCTTCTGGAGGCCCTCTTGGGACGCCTCCAGGGAGCTTCTCGGGCCGTCTCGGGGGCCCTGGGCCGTCTGAAGACCAGCGCGTGCGTTGTGGATCGACCTTTCAGCGACTCGTGGCCCTCGTGTTTCGTCCCGGGGGCCTCTTGGGGCCCCCTTGGCCCGGTTTGGGGCCCCCTGTCCCCCGCGCCGCGGTCGGGCGCCCCCAAGGGCCCCCCCCTCCCCCAGATCGACGGGGCCGGGGCCCCAGGGGAGGGCTCGGGGAAGGAAGGGGGGCGTCTCGCGCGCCGATGGGCCCCAAGGGTCCGGCGACTTCTTCGACCACGCAACCAGACATTGGCGCACTTGCGGGGTTCAACTCGGGCCAGATCAACGTCTGGCTGAACCTGGCGACCGTCGGCGAGAGCTAGGGGCTGGTGCAGAGCGGCAAGGAGGGCGGTCTAAGACAGGCTGGTCGCTGGTCGCCCACGTCATCCAGGAGAATGGCGCCCCCAGCGCTGCCATCCAAATCAAGGGGGGGAGATCGACCGCAAGAGCAGGACAGCAATCCGACCGTCCTGAGCATCGCGATCGGGAGTCGTTTCGCGCAGGACTGCCAGCATCCGCGGCGCCGGCTGAATCGCGGGGGCGCCGGGAGCGAGCCGACCATGGAGGTCAAGCCCCACCGATGGTCCCACGAGCAACGCGCGAAGATGGCGCGGACGGATCAGACGACGTTCGCCTGGAGAAGTCAAGGTGGATATCCGATGGTAGTCGACCGCTCAAGGGGCGCCAACGCCAGGCCATCCGAGCGGCAACGCGCGCCGCGAAGCCGGCACTGTGCGAATCCCCGTGTTCGCTGTCGACCTTGAGCCGCCTCGCGGTTTCAATACTGGTGCCAAAATGGGTGCTGTCCCCCAGAGGGGCAAGATTTCCCGAGGGGCAAGATTTCTGAGGGGCAAGATTTCCCGGGAGATTGCCAGGGAGATGTTCCGCGAGATTTCCGAGGGGAAAACTTGTCCGGGAGATTCCCACAGAGATTTTCAGGGGCAAGACTTTCAGGGAGATTGAGCCGCGGACATTTCCGAGGGGCACGATTTTCCGGGAGAGTCTCCGGGAGATTTCCGATGGTTTGAGGTATTTTTGAGTTCTGTATGGCGTCCAAGATTTGTTTTGGAGATTTTGGTTCGGACATGTTATCAAGGCGACCCTCCGATCTAATCTTAGGGCGAGTTTGGGGGCTCTTGGGCCAGCTTCAACGCTCTCAAATCCAATATGCTGAAAATAAGTTTGTTCCCGAAGAAAGTTCCTTGCTTCCGTGGGGTGTCGCTCGGGGCCTCTGAAGCCGTCTTGGGAGTTTGTGGGCCGTCTCGAAGGTATTTTCACATGTCCCAGGAACTCCCGGAAGCCAGCGAGGTGGTCTTGAAAGCTGGAGGCCCAGAGATAGCCTGAGGGGCCATATGTTATATTGGGAGGGGGGTGGCCATCCCTATGGGTTTTCTGGCAGCGTGTGGTAATATAGATAGGAAATAATGCAACCCGAACCACAATATCAATACTACCCGAACCACAATTGTGACCGCGGCTGTCCTGCTCATGTTGTTTCCATGGCCGAATTCGGAATGCCTTCGAGTAGCTCGAACTACCTGAACCCAAACCAAGCCTGGTCACAGTCACAGTCACAGTTATGGTCGGGCATTAAAAGTAATCCTCCCCAGCCCATGCCTAGACCAAGACCAGTTATAGTCATAGTCATAGTCCGACATCATTCCTTTACATAGAATGAAGCACCATGTTTCTTTCACCCAAACCAATTCTGGTCACAGTCATAGGTCGACCACATACTCGTAATTCGCATAGTAGCCACCTGAACCAAGACCAGAACCGCACTTTCTGTGGACCTCACTTGGCAAGAGCGGGCGAAAACCAGCCAGGAGCGGGCGACAGTCCCCAGATAACGCGTGCCAAAACGCGCCAGGCCCCCCAAAAGGCCGCAATATTGATACACGGCGGTGTCAAGGTTGCACCAAGATGGTCCAAGACAACCTAATGGGCTGCAAAGACGGCGCATTATGGCCGAATGCCCTCCTCCTCCTCCTCCTCCTCCTCCCAAGAGGGCCAGAATCATTCTGCCAATGTGCTTCTTCGATGATGATGTCCTGCCTGTGCGTACTTCAACGAGCTTGTTGGCCTTCGATGTGGCCCCACCAGGGCTCCAAGGCAGCCCTGAGCGGACCCCGAGACCTCCGAAGAGGGCCCCAACAGAGGGGTCCAAGAGAGCCCACTACCGGACCCAAGTTCTTGCCCAGAACGGCCTCCCGTTTGATTCAAACCATGCTGTTTTTAGCAGTGTTGTGGCCCAAGGCAGCATCTTGCAATACACACCAGACCCGAAAGGATGGCGAGCCTCGCGGGCGTCAGTCTCCCGGCCGTCGGCGAGGAGTGCTCGCGACCGAGGCCAGCGGCAGCTTGGGCAGAGAAATCCAGCGTGGTTCCTGCGCCGAAGCAACCATCGGCCCCAAAGATGACCCGCGGGCGCCCCGGTGCGGGCAGGTGGTCAAAGGAGGAATCAGTACCCATACCCCATGCCGCTACCCTTCCCTCGTTTTCGTTTTTTGTTCCCAACCATCCTGTGGTGTTGGGTCCTCGTTTTGAAGAGACAGCGCCCCGCGTCACCTCCTCCTCCTCCTCCTCCTCCTCCTCCTCACTCCTCCCTTTCCTCCTCCTCCTCCTCCGCGAGGTAATTACTGGTGATGTGCCAGGAATGGTGTCGGGGGGAACCTGAGTTGTTCCCAACCGTCCTGTGGTGTTGGGTCCTCGTTTTGAAGAGACAGCGCCCCGCGTCACCTAATCACTCCTCCTCCCCTTCCTCCTCCTCCTCCTCCTCCTCCTCCTCCTCCTCCTCATCGTCACCATCAGCATCATCCCACCAATTTTAACACACTCCTCACACGGTTCGTGGCCCCACAGGGAGTTCCACCGAAGGACCCAGTGGCACAGGCCACATGCGGGGACCGCCACCCATTTTATCACACCCCTCACACGGGTCGTGGCCCCAAATGGAGCTCCACCCAAGGTCCCAGTGGCAGAGGCCACATGCGGGGACTGCCACCCATTTTGGCACACCCCTCACACGGTTCGTGGCCCCACAGGGAGCTTCACCGAAGGCCCCAGTGGCACAGGCCGCATGCGGGGACCGCCGCCCATTTTGGCACACCCCTCACACGGTTCGTGGCCCCACATGGAGCTCCACCCAAGGTCCCAGTGGCAGAGGCCACATGCGGGGACTGCCACCCATTTTGGCACACCCCTCACACGGTTCGTGGCCCCTCAGGGAGCTTCACCGAAGGCCCCAGTGGCACAGGCCGCATGCGGGGACCGCACCGAGTTTGGCACACCTTTCACACGGTTCGTTAGCCCCACATGGAGCTCCACCCAAGGCCCCAGTGGCACAGGCCGCATGCGGGGATTGCTACCCATTTTGGCACACCCCTCACACGGTTCCTAGCCTCACAGGGAGCTCCACCGAAGGCCCCAGTGGCACAGGCCGCACGTGGGGACCGCGCCCATTTTGGCACACCCCTCACATGGTTCGTGGCCCCACAGGGAGCTCCACCCAAGGCCCCAGTGGCACAGGCCGCATTCGGGGACCGCACCCATTTTGGCACACCTTTTGCACAGTTCGTGGACCCACAGGGAGCTCCACCCAAGGCCCCAGTGGCACAGGCCGCATGCGGGGACCGCCGCCCATTTTGGCACACCTCTCACACTGTTCATGGCCCCACAGGGAGCTCCACCGAAGGCCCCAGTTGTTCAGTCCGCTTTCGGGCACTGCATTCATTTTGGCACACCATTCATACGGTTCGTGGCCCTACAGGGAGTTCCACCGAAGGCCACAGTGGCACAGGCCGCACGCGGGGACCGCAGTTTATTTTGGCACTTCCTTGACACGGGTCGTGGCCCCACAGGGAGCTCCACCGAAGGACCTAGTGGCACACTCCGCATGCGGGGACCGTACCCATTTTGGCACTCCCCTCACACGGTTCGTGGCCCCACAAGGAGCTCCACCGAAGGCCCCAGAGGCACAGGCCGCACGCGGGGACCGCGCCCATTTTGGCACACCCCTCACACGGTTCGTGGCCCCACAGGGAGCTCCACCGAATGCCCCAGTGGCACAGGCCGCATGCGGGGACCGCACCCATTTTGGCACACCTTTTTGCACGGTTCGTGGCCCCACAGGGAGCTCCACCGAAGGCCCCAGGCCGCATGCGGGGACCGCCACCCATTTTGGCACACCTTTTGCACGGTTCGTGCCCTCACAGGGAGCTCCACCCAAGGCCCCAGTGGCACAGGCCGCATGCGGGGACCGCCACTCATTTTGGCACACCTCTCACACGGTTCGTGGCCCCACAGGGAGTTCCACCAGCCCCCAGGGGTTCAGTCCGCATGCGGGGACCGCCGCACCCATTTTGGCACACCCCTCGCACGCTTCGTGGCCCCTCAGGGAGCTCGACCGAAGGCCCCAGTGGCACAGGCCGCATGCGGGGATTGATACCCATTTTGGAACACATTCTACGCAGTTCGTGGCCCCACAGGGAGCTCCACCGAAAGCGGTACCCACAATGCGGTATTCGCAGCTGCATATGGTTGGGTTTTTCGTCAGGCTAATTGGATATTTTGGGAGAGATCCGGGATTAGCGGTATCAGTTCGATTCGGTAACCCCATCATCGCGGGCAGGTGGCTACATCATTCGGTGCCGCGCCAGCCGCCTGGCGACCCCCCCGTTGGCAGGATCCGTAGGCCCCTTGGTCTTTGTCGTGCTGAGCCTCAAGATTCATTGACATTCAGCCGCCTTCCGGAGACGAAGGGCCTCTTCACGGGGATCTCCAAGCTTCGCCCCGGCAACAAGTTCACGTCGCCCGAGTTGTTGCCCAGAATTGAGTTGACCAGCGATTCGGCAATGAGCAACCACACGAGCGACAGCGAGTCGACCTCCGATCTCTTCGAGGATTCCCCGAAGTTCTCCAAGGCGGGCATGATATTCCATCGGACCAGCGGGATCGCCAGCGAGGACGACTTGAAGGGCCGCTCAAATCTATCTTGTATTTCACATCATTAGCGCAGAAGTATTCTCCACGCACTCACACACACATATTTATAAATATGTTCACACATATATACGATCAAAGAAACGTGCTTGTCACCAACATTGCAGAAACCTTACAACATTTCCAATGACGCTTATTGTTTGAAATGATTTTTTTGCATAAAGAAAAAACATCATTCGTGCGGCGCGTCCAACGGTTCTGTGAGTGCGGTTCGCGTGGCATACACAAGCTATTAAGTTGGGCTTCGCATGTGCGTTTATGCAGCTTTGGTTTTACATTGAATGTTCAGCGCCAACTACAGGTTTTCCCCTCAACACGGCCACCCCCAGGTTTATAACGTCCACCCCAAGGCGTCCTACCGAATGAACCACGTTTTCAACAAACGTGACACACAATAGCTTGCAATCCAGACTCAGCAAACACATGAACACATCAGCATTTGCATGTCTTATCTGAATCAGTCAACTCAGTGAACGAAAACGTAGGTGCATTCATATAACACCCCCTTGGTTGTTCACCCTATCCTATCCTCCAGCGTCCGTTTTGCTTCCCGATTTCCCCCCTGCGCAAGCGTCGCCGTTTTCGCGGGGAGGTCCAGCGGAGCGGCGTCATACGCGCCCCCGGGCTCCAGACTAGACCCCGCGGCCCCCTTGGGGGTATTGCCACTTGCGCATGTGCCGCCCTTTTTGTGGACCCGTGCGGGGTCCAGCGGAGCGGCGTCGTAAGCGAACTTACTCAAAATCTCGCGGCTCCCTCGGGGTGTTGCCATCTGCGCAGTTGTCGACATGTGAGCTCCTGGGAGGCGCAGCGAGAGGCGTCACACGCGCACCCAGACTAGACCGCAGGGACCCCTGGTGGTGCTGCCATTTGCGTAACCGTCACTGCTTTCGTGGGCTCGTGTGGGGTCCAGCGGAACGGCGTCACACGCGCACCCAGAATAGACTCCGCGGCTCGCTCTCTGGGGTGCGCCTTTGTCGCCATGATCGTGGGCTCGTGTGGGTGGGGGGGGGTCAGTTACGCGCAACCAGACAAGACCTCGCGGCTCATTGCTGTGTGTGCAGCAAGTTGCGCAAGTTTCGCCACGCTCATGTGTTCTTGGGAGGATCAGCGGAGTGGCGTCACACGCGCACCCAGAGTCAACCTCGCGGTTCCTTGGGGGTGTTGCCACTTGCGCAGTTGTCGCCGCGTTCGTGGGCTCTTGCGGGGTCCAGCGGAGTGGCGTCATACGCGCATCCAGGCTAGACCTCGCGGTTGCCTGGGGCCCGTGGTCGTCGTCGTGGTGATCGTCGTCGTCGTCGTGTTCGTCGTCGTCTCTGTCTGTGGTCGGCGGAGGCGGCGGCGTAGTCGTGGTCGTGGTCGTCGCCGTGATCGTGGTCGTTTTCGTCCTGGTTTTCGTCATTATCGTGGTCGTCGTCGTGGTCGTTGTCGTCGCGGTCGTGGTCGTCGTCGTCGTCGTCGTCGTAGTGGTGGTCTTCGTCTCGGTCGCCTTCGTCGCAGTCGTTGTCGTCGTCGTCGTTGTCGTGGTCGTGGTCGTGGTCGTCGCGATCGTGGTGGTCGTCGTAGTTGTCGTGGTTGTCGTCGCGGTGGTCGGCGTCGTTGTGGTCGCGGTGGTCGTCGTCGTCGTGGTCGTGGTCTTGGTCGTCGTCGGTGTCCTGGTCGTCGTCGTAGTCGATGTCGTCGTCGTCGTCGTGGTCGGTGTCGTCGTATTCGAGGTCGTGGTCGAGGTCGTGGTCGTGGTCGTGGTCGTGGTCGTCGTCCGTGGCCGTCGTCGACGTCGACGTGCTCGCGGTGGCATTGTCGTTTACGCGCGACCAGATAGGACTTGGCGGTTCATTGGGTGTGCAGCATCTTGCGCAATTTGCGCAATTGCCGCCAGTTCTTGGGCCACCTTGTGCGCCGTTGAGGAGGAGGAGGAGGAGGAGGAGGAGGAGGAGGACGGGGAGGAGGAGCAGCAGCAGCAGCAGCAACAGCAGGAGCAGGAGAGTAGTAGCAGCAGGAGGGAGCAGGAACGGGGGGGTAGAATGAAGATGACAACGAGCAGGAGGAGGAGGCGGAGGATGAGGAGTAGGACGACGAGAGGAGGAAACGGAGGGGGAGGATGAGGAACTCTGGAAACACCAGTATCCAGCATCCAGGAGGATGATGATGAGGAGGAGGACAAGGAGGAGGGGGAGGAGGGGGAGGATGAGGGAGGAGGGGGGAGGGAAGGGGCAAGAGGGACTTGTCGTCGTCGTCTTCTAGCTGCCAGGCTAACTTGAAAAACAAGGAAATGTTTGAATTCCTTTTTTTCAAGTGCTCTTGGGGTCTCTTTTGGGGCTCTTTTGAGCCTGCATGGTGCTTCTTGGGGGGCTCCTGGGGCGAAGATCTCGGTTCTCGGCGCACGTTCCTGGGCCGCTGTTGGGTCCCTCTCGGGCAGTCTTGGACGCCTCTTCGGCAGTTTTGGAGCCGTCTTGGGCCCGCTCGGGGGCGCTCTTGGAGCCCATTGGCCCGTCTTGGGGCGGTCATCGAGGCCTCTGGAGTCGCCTTGCAGCGTACGTAGGGGAGCGGAGCAGGGGGGGTCCTGGCCCCCCCTCCGCTTCGGGCGGTCGCGTGGTGTCGTGCCCGGGCGTCGTGCTCGAGGCGAGGGCCAGCTCTGTGGCGGCCGAGGCCGGAGGGAGCGGAGCACTCGGCACGGTCGGGGGCCCCCCAAAGCGCCGACCTGTTGGAGGCCCTGGGGACGGGCCCATCGTCGCTCTCGTCATCGCCATCGTTTCGGAGGGCACCAACTATACACCTACACCGATCCAGCCCAGGCCGATCCTAGGCCCAGGACCGGTGTATATGCATTCTGCCAATGGCAGGAGGGCGTATACACCGATCCTGGGCCCAGGTTGATCCTGGCCGGGATCGGTGTTGGTGTATCGTTGGTGCATCCTTATCGTTAGCGTCATCATCGTCGCCCTCGTCGTCGTCGGCATCGTCGTCGACGTCGTCGTCGTCGTCCTGATCGTCAGCGTCGCCGGCATCGTGTTCGCCGTTCTGGCCATCGCTGTCTGTTTCGGTGTTGTCATCGTCGTCGTAACCATTGCGTTCGTCATCGCCGTGTTCATCGTCGTCGTAACCAACACCGTTGTCGTAACGAAGGCGCGCAACATCACGACTGCAATGCGTAGAACACTGCAGATCTGCAACGTGTAGGTCCTATACCTTGCGGATCTGCTATGTGTGTAGAACCTACACATTGCAGTTTCGGTGTTGCGGCCCTGTCTCTTCGCCAATTCATTCCGCCCAGAGGCTGGACATCTTCCATTATGCAGGTCGGTCATCCGTTACGACGTCGACGGGCGTCGACGGACGTGACCGCGACGACGACCACCACCACGACGACGACCACCACCACGACGACCACGACCACGACCACGACAACGGCCACGACCACGACCATCACGACGACAACGACCACGACGACGACAACGACCACGAGCACGACAACCACGACCACGACCACGACGCCGGACACGACCACGACGACCACGACCACGACAATGGCAACGACACTGACCCCGACCACGGCGGTGACCATGATGACGACCACTCTACGACCAGGACGACGACCACGACGACGCTGACGACGACTTCGACCACGACGACGACCAGAACGACGACGAGGACCGCGCTCACGGCCACCACGACGACGACGGCAACACAGACGACAACGACGACGGCCACGATCACGCCCACGACGAGGATGACCACGACCAATACGACGACGAGGACCGCGCTCACGGCCACCACGACGACGATGGCAACACAGACGACAACGACGACGGCCACGACGAGGACGACCACGACAACGACGACGATGACGACGACAACCACGACCGCGACCACAACCACGACGACGTCCACGGCGACGACCACGACGCCACGACAACGACCACTACGACAACGACTACGACGACAACAACCGCGAACACGACAACGACGATCACGACCACGCGCAGTAACTCGATCAAGCGAACGACCATGACCACGACGACGACCACATCGACGACGATGACGACGATGACGACGACGGCCGCGACCACGACCACGACGACAACGCCAACCGCGAGCGCGTCGACGCCGATGACGGCCACGGACGACGATCACGAACGACCACGGCCACGATCACGAGGACAGCGACGATGACACCGACCACGACGACCACGACGACACCGACCACGACGACGACCAGGACACCGACGACGACCAAGACCACGACGACGACGACCACCACGACCACGAGGACGCCGACCACCGCGACGACGACCACGACCACCGACGTCAACCAGGACACTTACGACGACGACGATGACATTCGTTTAGCAAGAGTCATAAGTTTCAAGAGTCCCGTGCAAAACATGGGGCGAAGTGCGCACGCGCGCGTCGTCGCGCGCGCATGCCGAACTCCTTGCAAAACCTTCGGTTTCGGAATGATTTCAAAAGCGAGTGCCCAAAAACATTTCTTCAACAAAAAAAGGGTTTCGCAACATGAATTTGCAAAAAAAGCTTGCGCGCGCTCTTGCGAATTCGAAGGGAAACCTGAGGCTTCCACCAGTTCCACGCAATTCTGCAAAACGGGCTTCGCTCGCGCGCATATCGAAATCGTTCGAAAGCCCTTGCGCGCGTGCGGGGGTGGCACGATCTGTGTCAAATAGCACCATGCGGGCCACTCTCGCGCGTCTGCCGCGCGCATGTTGAATTCCTTCCAAGACCTTCATCACCAACGCGAAAACGCCGTCATCGTCGTCGGCGTGATCAGCATCGGCGCCGTCACTGGCTGCCCCGTCGTCGCTGCCAGCATCGTCACCAACATCGCTACGTTCACCATCGTGTCTACCGACGTCGGCGTTGCCATGCTACCGCGCCTGCCGTTCCGAGCAGTCAGCACCACCGCGTTCGCGTCGGCCGCGCCAAACTAGCCGGCCGCTGCGCGCGCGAG